GGAGTGAGCTTTATGTTAAGAATGATTGGATGTATTTTGGTAATGAGGTGCTTATGATAAAGACTGAATGTATAAACAGAAACAATGAAGAAAATGAGAAAATTTTGTTTAAAACATTTGGAAAAGAAGAGAGAAATAGGATGAAATTATAAATTTATACTTGATCTGAGCTTCTCTCTGTGGTGACTAAGAAACACACTGTCTTCTGGGATATGGCGCCATGTAGTCTCATAGAATTTTACTAACATACCTACAAAAGTCAGTAAACTTCTACCAGACTACACAGCATTCATATCCCAGAAGACAGTACTTTTCAAAGTTTTAATTAAATTAGAACACCTTCCAAAATGTCTCCAAATTATGGATACAGAGCCCTGATGTTCTTGCAGGCCTCTCATCAAGAAGCTGTGGATATCTTGCAGATGCAGTTGGGTGACATGCGCTTGGAAGTGCAGTACATTGCAGCAGAGGACAGCGGTGAGGAGAATTCGCTTGGAGAAGACATGTATGGCTTTAGGTAAGATGTAGCCTGCAGGGAGGATAGGTGATGGATTATGTCCTCTCTTGAATATGTTTCAAATTGGCATACAAAGTCACTGAGATTTCTACAGAAAATTGTTATGATCATCAACATTGTATTGCGCCATAGCTCAAGAGGTTAGTCACTGGCTTCCCATCGAGGTGGCCCGGGTTCTGTACGGAGGTCTGGTCAAGTGGGATTTGTGGTGGACAAAGTGGCTCTGGGGCAGATTTTCTCCGAGTACTTCGGTTTCCCCTGCCAATCTTCATTCCACCAATTGCTACACAATCACCCTCACATATCATCTGGGACTTGTATAATAGGCCAGAAGTGGCCGCAGTACAAGGGACTTAGTCCCACCCCACTAGCAATAACAAAAAATAAAAAAAGCTTAAAATTTGGCCACCTGTTAGGATAATCAGTGACATGAACTGTAGATATTACAGTATGTTTAAGAGCAAACAGACTGTGCCCCATCTGAAGGAGTTTTTTTTTTTTTTGTTTCCAGTTGATGAAACAGATGAGCTCAACAGACACCCACTCGGAATGCTTAGCCTCCTGCAGCAGAAGCAGAAAGAAATGCAGTCTCCATTTGTGGTCCTTAGTGGCGGTAAACAAACATGAGTATGCTTTTTGTCTGCATTCATTGAAAAGAACAACCAGTTCTAATTAAAAAAAAATTGTATTAATTAACTGACAGACTTAGACACGAGAACACAGATTACTAGATGAAACCAGTGAACTCAATTAAAAATTTGTCTAATCTTGACATTGCAAATAACAGTAATTCATAGCTTTAACTTAAAGGCTGAGTAAATGGGAAGCCATATAGTAATGTCGATAATGTCATATGGTGATTATACTGCTGCAAAGTAAATATTTGTTTTTCTCTTTGCATGTCACTTGTCTTGTTATAATTTGTAGACTGTACACTATAAAGTATCATTTTAATGATGGATTGATTAATAAGACTTTGCTCCTTGGTACTGTGAAGCTTTACTAAAAATTTCTGTTTCTGATGCAGAATATGAAATTTCATTTTCAAAAAGAAAACCACCATGTGAGATCTTCAAGTTTAACATGTGCATTACTACATTTTCTTTATTTCTTTCTTTTTCAGGGCAACCATCTCAAAAACAAAACTGCAAATTCTTCATGAAATATGCTGGCACCAACTCTGAAGTTTGGCATGGACTTATGTTTTTATTGTTTCTTACTGTCTGGAATATCATCTCTATTTTTAAATAAGACACAGCTTGCAGCTGCCGACAGTGCCTATGTGTACTGGAAGGAAGGCCACAGAGTTCATGTCACATTCAAATGAGTACGGTGGTTCTCCTGCTTCCTTATGTAACCTGTTGGCACCTGTAAGCTGGAAAATACAATTTCTAGTGAGTAGTTGCTTGTTTATAGGACTTGAGCCAGATGAACAGCCTTTAAGCTAAATCAGACATGAAGTAATTATATTTGGCCTTTCTTGATTGCAATAGCCATATTGTATCCTTCCAAGGGAAGAAGAAACCCTTGTTAAGTTGTAGGCCAGTATGGAAAGCTGTAAAATTATACAAGCAACAGAATCAGAAGCTGTACAGTCTACTGCAAATCATTGTAAAGCACCACTGATATATCACTGAAACATTTGTAATGGGTTATAAAAGTAACTTGGTTCATCCTGGTTCGTCACACTAGTAATTGTATGTAAGGGTTTTAACCACTGTCCAGTGTGATGGATAACAGTTGTTTTCAATTTTTCATCCTTTACATGTTCCAATCAAAATGACCATCTTCAGAAGGGTATTATCAACACACATGGAAACTACTGTTACATGTCATACATGTATATGTTATATCTTTTAACTAATATTAAGATTTACTGTTAATCATCATCATCAGTAATCTGCCAAGACGACAGGTCCACAGTCTCTTCCAAAACAATTCCTCCACTTACTGCGATCTAGAGCTTTCTCCTTCAAATGAGAGTATCCTCTTCTGTNATTAAGATTTACTGTTAATCATCATCATCAGTAATCTGCCAAGACGACAGGTCCACAGTCTC